AGTAGGGTTGATCCTAGTGAGGACATCTAAGGCCAACCGAATGTTTTCTTGCACTCTTTCAACACGTTCAACAACCTTCCTTTTTTATTGGGGAGTAGATCACTAAATATGATCACAAGTAGCTTTTCATACTCCTCCAAGTAAGCATACTTCGAAAGGGATGTGAGTGGTTTCAGATCTAACTCCTCAGGTTGTTGTGGTGTACTTGCTTCACTTGCTTTAGTAGTTGTATGCGCTCCTACAAAAGAGTCAATATTATCACTAATCTCCTTACCGGCACAACTTTCATCTGAACGTTCATATTCAGACAACTCCTCTTGGCTTAAATTCAGATATTCTAAGGGCTTATCAAGATCAAAATAAACTCCTAGATCTAGCTCATCATCCTCTCAACCTTAAACTGAGCATGCGTTCGTTAAGAAAAACTCTCTCTGACTGAGCAAATATGTGTCTGAGTTCTTCTGCTTTAGTTGAACTTCTTGATCACTTCTTAGAGTAATTGCACTTACATTCTCATTAGGATTGATAATTGTTTGTGAGGGAAGTGCATTTGCACCTTGCTGCTGTATTGAATTCATGGAAGTGGCCAATTGCGTTTACAAGTCATTGAAGCATTGCTCTAGTTGTGTGCTTTGTGTACTCTACATTATCATTTATTGTGAGTTGCTTCATCAGATCTTTTAGTGTAGGCCCAGAGTTACCCTGTTGCATAGTACCACTTTGTCTTGCCTATATTGTCACAGGGTGTTGATTCGCCTACTGTCTCATCAAGGGAGGTTGATACTCTTGTGTTGGTAAAGGCCTTGGTTACTTAGCTGGAAAGGAATCTTTGGTGGCTAGTTGAAGATAGGATCATATTTTAAGTTTAGATGGTCTCTTCAACTAGAATTATATGTGGCCAAGTACGAGTTCCTATTGTGGACTATATGAATTTAATTTCCCGTAATGTTATTGTTCAAGGAATATACCGTCTTTCCCTAATTAAGCTTGGTGTCTCGTGAAGTTGAGGACATACATTAATGGGATGATCTACGAAGGTGCATATCTCACATACATATTGTTATTGTTGAAATATGTGTTGGTTTATGGCCAGTTGTCGTACTAAAGATGTTAGCTCGTCTAATGTTCTTTCAAAGTTCATGTCCTCAAGATCACTTGTTTAATGGAACGACAACGGTAGACCCTAAACAAGTACACCAGGTAGGTACCCAAGAAAGAGAGGTGATGGACACGTTTAAGTATAAGTCTTTCCTAACCAAAACTCTTGTAGACATATACTCTCACACTACCAAGTTATATCTGACAATTGTTTTCAAGAATTTTCTTCTAAGAATGGCTTCTCAAGAATTTCCTGCGAGAAGGGTAAGGGAACACACAAACAAAATATTTTTTTATTGAATTTCTTTTTTTTTTTTGAATTTCTTTTAGTAAAGCTAAAAAAAGTAAATTAGAAAAAAAGAAAAGAAAATGATAGTAGGTAATATTACGTAACACAATTATGTCCTCGACAACGGTGTCATTTGATGACAATATTTTGATTGCACAAAATACTGGTAAAAAAAATAATAAACATTGTTAAACAAATCCAAGTATAGTTCACCCGTGTTGAATCTCACAAGGACATTATCATATATCATTCTCTCTAAAAACAGTAAATAAAAATAAATAGGGGAATGAATGAAAAAATGAAAAAGAAATAAATTGATGCAGAATAAAAAAAATTAAAATTGAATTGTTATAGAATATTAGCAACAATTAAGATTAAATGGAAGCAAAAGTTAAATAATTGAAATTGATAAAATTAAAATAAAGTGTTTTTACTTAAAACTACAAGAATAAAAAATTGTTTTAAAACAAAATAGTGCAATAATTAAAATTAAATTGATGCAAAATTTAAATAACTGAAATTTATAAAATTAAAATAAAGTAATTTTAATTAAAAGTGCAAGAATACAAAATTGTTTTAAAATAAAATAGTACATTAATTGAATTTGAAATTTCTCGAAGCGATACTCTAAAACTAAATTCAGAATTGGAACTAGAAAAGTGATGAATTGAAAATGAAAATTAAGTAATACTAGAATAAAAATTCTAAACAATTAAAATGACCACTTGAATGAATAAAGTAAATAAAATAATATCAATTGGAAAACTCAATAGAAATTGCAAATTAAATAAAAGAGAACAAACCTAGGAAGTGCAGTAGCGTAGATGAACTTACCTAACAAAAAGTTAAACTATAAATTGAGAGTAAAAAAGAAAAATGGGGACGAGACAAAACAACAGTTTGTCACCTTGGGGCCACAAAATTATAATCGTGTTGGTGTAATAAGACCTTTATTTATAGAAGATTGAACAAGAAAAATTAAATATAAAATTAATTACAATAAAATCAAATGTTTCCTAAATAAAAAAATTCAAAATTAGATTGTTGTGAAGAGAAATTTCGGGACTGATTTGGAGAAAATAATTTGTTTTTTTCCTATTTTAAATTATCCAACACTGATTTGCATTTAATTCTTGATTCCTGCTAGTCTTTAATTCAGCTAAATTGGATTTTCGTATCCAGTTAATTTGCTTGATTTAAAATTTTCATTTATAATGTTTTGCAAGTAGGTCTGAACAAGCAAACTTGAGCTTCCGATAAAAGTTAAACTTGACAACATCAATTTAGACATTTCTTTTCATCAATTTGGTTCATCTTAAATTATCTTTCCTACAATAGAAGAAAAATAAATATACATTATAGGTGTTGCATGTATATTATTTATTATGCTAAAACTATGTAAAATACAACCAATTAAGAAAAATTGAATTATGTTATACTTTTAATGAAAACAGGTTAAATGCATGGTTTATGAATAAAATAATTTGCTTAGAAAATGCTCTTAGATAAAAAAGATAAAGGTAAAAATGACATACATTAGGTGTGTCAATACCCGACATAAATTTACATTGGTTATAGTTATGTCTCGATGTAAATTTACATTGAGTATTAATACACCTAACATAAATTTCGTCTTTTTTTTAATATTCAAAACTCTTTTACATCTGTTTCTTACATTTTTTTTTGGCGTAAATTGACGTTGGTTCTCCAGATGACTGATGTAAATTGATGTTGGTTATTATATCTAATGTAAATTTATATCTCTTGCATTAACATTAAACTTATATCAACGTAAAAAAGCAAAAATAATATACGGAAAAAACCCACTTTGCACTAGTATATTAATAATAATAATAACTCAATAATACATATGTATTATTAGGGGTGTCAAAATAGGTTTAGCGTGATGAACCAGCCCAAAAAATAGGTCAAGGCCAAAAAATTTATGACCTAAAAAGAACCCGACAAATTTTGATTTGGCCTATTTAGGTCAGGCCTAATCGGGCTTAGGCCAGGTTAGTCCGTAGGCTTATGGGCTGACCCATTTTATAAAATAATTATTATTTTACCAATAAATAAAAGTAATATTATTTTATTAGAAAATATATGTATAATAAATTAATTTGATAATATATTTTGTTATATATATATATATATATATGTAATTTAGAAAAAATAATAAACTCTAAACATAATCTTCATTTTGTTTTTGTCATTTTCTTCCTCTCTCGTTATGTCGTTTTAAGGACCAATAATTAAAAACGACATATTCTTAAATATAATGTATTTCTAAAGTATAATGATGTGAAAGTTGTGCTAGATAATAAGACTAACTCTGTTGAAGAATAAAATTTTGACTCTAAAATTTACCAATATACACTTATTAAATGCATTATTAATATATGATATTCAATTTAATTATGTTGAGTATGAGGGAGTTTGGAAGGTAAATAAAGTTTTGAATCCTAATTTTAAACCAATTACGATAAATACTTCAATTACATAGGTTTATAATGTTTATAGAGGTTTATAATGTGTATTTTAAAAACTAAAAGATGTGTTATCTAATATTTCTGCAGGATATGTTTGACTTGTGATATATGAACAATTATAACTCTTTAATGCTACATGAATATAACAACTCATTTTTATGATTTTATACATTTGATTTTATTTTATTTGAATATGTCATGACTTAATTTTAAATAAACAAATGAATGACATATTTTCTTTTAAACAAAATTAAAAGAAAATAAATAAATAAATAAAATATATTTAATTAGGCAAAAAATGGCTCATTAATCCGTTAACCTAAAATAGAATTAGGCTAAGCCAAAATTTTTAGTTCATTTTAAGATATAATTCAGATTAGACTATTAGATTTTTTTAAGATCCATTGGACCAGGTTTGGCTGGACCTCCTGTTTTGTGTGGACAGTATTATATGTTATTATATCAATTGATTAAATATATTATCATATTATTATTTTAAATACTATTATTTTAACTTTTAAGTTATAGGTATATTATGCAATCAGTTATTAATTAATCATTTAAAAAAATTAATTAATTTTTCTTTATTATTTTTCTTGTTTCATTGACTTTGTTAAAATATGGTAAGATGACGAACAAAACCACAATCAGCATAAATGACTGACTATTAAGTAAAACTTCATGCAAATAAACATTTTTAGAAATTTTGATAACTTGTTTAGATGGACAATCTTAAATATTGAATTTAGATAGACAACCTAATAAATAATTCTTAAATAAGAGAATGAAAAAGAAAAATATAAACATACATATTTTAAAGTTTATTATTATTATTATTATTATTATTATATTAATAAAAAAATTTGTTAAATTTTTTTTTCTATCTTTAATAGTCTATGTGTCAGTATTCAATATTTTTTTTTTCAGCTCTGGTTTCAAACGATGGAGGACAGTGTTCAATTCACGAAGCTAAATTAGCAATCAACATGCAGAGTTTTTCTTCAACATGCATACTCGGTCTCTGTTCACATCCACTGTAAAGGGAACACCTTTCCTTACTATCAAACGACATCTACCTCTTCCATGCAACGCTCCTCCCAAGTGTTGATCACCCTCACCACATGTCACCACCTTCCTCCTCCTCATATTCACTCTTCCTTTACTCTCTTTCCAAACCCCACATTCCTTTACTCCACTTCACTTTCAACCATGGCAGAACCCCACCAACAACACCAAACTGCGAAGGGAAGGGAAACTCTCCCACTTCCAATGTTTGCCGCCCTCATCCTCACCGCCACTGTGGTAGGCCTCACCGTCCTCACTCCACTCTTCGTTCTCTTCAGCCCAGTGTTGCTCCCCGCCGCCCTAGTCATCTCTCTAACTATCGCCCGCCTTCGGCATTACCTCACTCTCTTCCTTTGCATGGCTGGCCATGTTTCTCCGCCCCATACGCTGGCCCGAACGTGTTCACCCTGATAAGGCGCCGGCGGTAGATACAGTGGACCACGTGACCCAGGAAGTCGAGGAAGCTGGCGACAGGGTAGTGCGTCAACGACAGGAAACGGCCCAAAAAGAGATCGCACCCAAGGCCCAAGAAAAAAGTATTGAAACAGAAGAAGCCAGTGAAGAAAACGAAGCATATAGATGACAGAGTTTGGTTGTGGTAAGCCAAGAGTTTAGAGTGGAAACAGTGCCGTGTCACTACTTTGATTTCTGAAGCCTGTTTTAATTGTGTGGAGTGTGAAGTGTTTGGTCCGTAGTATGCTTATGCGAATTGAAATTATTTTGGCGTGTTGATTCTTCTATTAATAAAGTAAACCTATTTATCTAGTGTACTATACTTGATTTTCAATGATCCCAATCTATGTTATGCATGTATGAGCGAAATTGGAGTTGCGAATACTATATCTGAACTAACCTTTTATTTGTTATGCATGTATGTACATATGGTATACATGAGCGATGAATTTTCATTCTCGCTCATGTATGGCTGATAGTCTCTCTATTAACTGTATAAAAGTTTCATCTGTGTCCAACAAGCTAATTCTTACATATTTTGGGCTAGCCCCAAACTGTATCCCACTTCTTGTGATAATTTTGTGTCCACGAAGGAAGGTCTCGCAGTCCTCAACGTCTTTCTCGCACTTCAGCCACACGAAAGCTGCAAGGTAGGGGAAAAAGGTCATATCCATCCACCACACACGAAAATCTAACATCTAATTGTGTTGTTTGTTATTTACCTGGTTGAGGCTCCGTCACCTTACCAAAGAAGTTGCAGAATGCGGGAGAAAATTGGGGCAAACTGAACATATCACCGGCCTCAACTACTTCCCTCAGTTGCTTCCACCTTTGTGCCATGAGGTTGTAGCTGTACTTGAAAAATGATTCCCCATCTTTCTGCTTTTCTTCTTCACAGCTGTCAGATACTGCCTTTAAAACCTTGGCAGCTCTGAGCTGAGAATCCTTCGAGACACCGATTGTATTTAGCTCAATGAATTTAGTCATTTTCTTTGCTACCTCTTTGTCTTTCACAAGAGCCCACCTACGAAGTATTACTTCATCATTTAATACCATCGTGTCTAAAAAGGTTTTAAATGACAAGTATTTAAATGATGTAATATCACATGATTGATTGATTGTTTAAATCCCTAGTTAATCTTTTCATCTTTATAAGGTGCTGTACTTTTATTAAATGTCATCCTAATTTCCACATGACAAAACTTACCCTATGCGCATTCCTGCATGACCAGTGCTTTTTGAGACAGTGAAAAGCGTGAGATCATGATCTGAAGGGGATGATATTGGAGTGTATTGGGGCCAATAATAGGCAAGGTCATGAATCAATAGCCCCTGGCTTCGGTTCACCATTGATTGCCTTCTATATCCATCAGGGTTATTGGGAGAAGTAACCAGCTCAATGTAAGGACCCTCTTTGTTAAATTTCTCTGCATCACCAGCCCATTGGTAAAGGCCTGATTTCTGGTAATCTGCCATTGACGGGTACGACTGCAAGTACATAATCGTCAACCATGAACTGCTCAAAACTAGAAACAAGGTAACAAAATTTCTTTGCCATATCTTCCTATCTCACAATTATCCTACTATGGAAGTATTTAATTGAAATGTTAAAAACATTACAATATTAAATAAAGTTTATCAGTATTGTCCATCTATAAGTGCATGTGAAACTAGAAAAAGTAATTTTGAATATTCTTAATCAATATCATAGTCATTCCCCTAATTATAATGAAAAGAAATATTGAACACTCATGTTGTCGCCTAATAATTAAAGAGCCTAAACTTGCCAAACATATAAACCTTTTTATAACAAAAAAAAAAATTTGAAGGGCTGCATATCTACTATTTCTAAATAATTAATTAGCGAGGTCCTTTTTCCTTTACGTACTTTATAAATTGCAAGAATGGCCGTTTTAGTTTGGATTCACTACATGACAGTCTGGAAGCAAAATTTTATTCTTTTTCAGTTTGGCACATGCCACTGTTCACCACCAAGTCTTCATGTGATCAGGTTCAGGCCCATGAGAGAGAGAGATGGACAGTGATGAAGACAAACACGAGAAGGACTAAATGAGGAGGCAGATTCGGTAACGAGCACATGAGAGAACTCCTTTAAAAACAAACAACTTCATAATATCCAAATACTAAATTCCCCCAAATATTTTTTGTTTTCTGAACACAGTATAGAAGTGAGAAACTAATCTCTCTAAATCGTACTATCCATTAAAGAATTGGTACCTTCAATATGTATTAAACATTTAACCAGCTGTTTTAAAAAACATAATAATCTACGGACCATGTGACACTACATTAACAATCCCTTTTAACCTTATAAAACATTAAATGCTGTGTGTTCTTTTTTCATTTCAAATTATTACTTTAGTTAGTGAGGACATTAGCGAATTCATTTAGGATAAAAAAAATTGTTCAATGAAAAGATTTGGAAGATCATGCATGACTGACCGAGTAATATGGCGCGGCAGATACCACGCTGATTGGTTCAGCAGCATCAGGCGAGGACAGAGCATAAAGGGCAGCCAGAATTAGCTGAGAGGAACCTGTCCCAACAACAATATAGCGACCTTCTACCACGGCATTGCCCACCACTTTGTGCAACCGCACTACTTCCGTTCCAAACTCAGGCTCCAAAAACCAGCAAATTTTTGAGGTATCAGATAAATAACTCATGGACTGCCATCCTGGAATTGTGATTGTGGTCTTGTCGCCCATTTGTCGCCAAAACCTTTCATACATTGTTGGGTCACCACTGCATACCATCAACATTTAAATTTAATTAGCATCTTCAAAACAATAAAAATATAAAACAGATGTGTGTACTAAAAGATTTAGTAATTTTTGCATTACTATATTCTGCTCATCATTTTATATTATTAGAAATAAAGTTGACATATGATTGCACCGCGTTTTGTTTTATTCCATCGACATGTAGCATGGTGTATCTGTGTCATTTCCTTCTTGTAAAGTGTCTAATATAATATAACCGACCCATGTAGATGTAGGGCATGATCTGATATCTGAAATCTGAAACAACGTGGTGCTATGAATGGCCTAGAACAATCTTTACTTTGCCCTAGAAAAGTATACATGAAAAATAAGCAAGGTAGACTGCAAAAACAGTGAAACAGTGAAGGCATAGTGGGGCAGGTGAGAAAAGAAAGGAGAAGTGATGGATGAAGTCCTTGAAGAAACGGGTATTGTTGAGTTAATGGCTGCATGGATTATGGATGGATGAGGTAATAGAATGATATATAATAGATTATATGTTGATGATGATGATGATGATGATAGATAGAAGATGGTTGCATATGGCATCTGCAAATACATATGCTAAGCTAAGGAAAGACAAAATACGTTAGACATGGAGTTCCATTTAAGGAGGGCCCACAGAAGCAGTTGATCCAGACGACCCATACGGAAACAGGGAAAAGAAATAGAAACAAGAGAAAGAAGACACATAAAGTATAAACAGCAACATTTGAGTGTTACACAATTGGGGCGGCCAAAAGTTGTAAAGAGCTCTCTCTCATCGCAATTCACAAGCCAAGGCGCACTTTCATTCGTATCATAAGTCTTTTGCTCACAGCAAAGGCCACCAAAAGGGTGTCCTCGTATTGCTGTGCGCGCATCAGTCACATGGCCCCCACCAATTCTTCTTCCAAAAATTATTGTGCCACTCCACACTGCTATACCTTGTGTTCTTCAAACCCCAGTTACGATGTGTAGGTTCTTTCTAGTTTCAGGTCCACGACTCCCTTAACTATCATAATAATTTCTTGGTCAAATAAAAATATCAACCTCCCATGGTGCTACATTACACTCCAAAATGCAACACCACTAGTCTTCTCTCTAGTGCTCCTAAGACATTATATGCACCACCCTCTTTCTAGGATAGATATTTAATCTGCTCCTATTGTCAAAAACTTACTAATATCATTTCCAACTAACCTTAGATAAAACTAACATGATTGAGATGTATTACTTTTTTTAGTACTAAAATTTGCGTTTTTCTTTTTATTTATTTCATTCATTGACAGAAAACTATCTAAACATACCTCTCTTAATTTCCTCAACTAAGTTCCCACCCTCCAACTTGGGAACAGAGAGATGACAAAATACCATCGTTAGACACGATGAGTGGCGTGTTCTCATCAAGTCCCAACATGCACACCAAGTACAGATGTTTATGACATCGTATAAATTTAGAATAAAGTTAAATTAAATGATTCCGATTAAAATTATGTTGGGAAAGTTCGGATTATCAAATTGTTATACGAAAATAAATTGTTACTGTATATTTATTATATATTTTATATAAACTTTAACTTTATATTAATATTGATACAATACAGACTAACTTTTTACCACACTCAATTTCCCTTGTTTTTCCGCTTATGTTTGTTGCTCAGGCAATTCCTTTTCTATTATAAAATTCAAAACTTTTCAATAAAAAATTAGAATGCATTAAATACAAGGTATAAAAATATCTTTAAAACAAATTCGTTTAATTAAATAACATTATATTTATGGTTAAATTTAATGCGACGAGTTTATTACACATATTAATTTAGATTAAACAAGCATCCTCATTAATTACTTTTTAGAATAAATCTACTAGACTGGAGCATTGCCTTAAATGCAAATTAAAGGAGGAGTCTAATATAATATTTTTTATATATAGAGTTATTGACATCATATAAAAATATTTTTAAATTATTATTATATTATTAAGAGCGATGGTAGATTATATGTATGAAAAAAACTTTTAAAAATATAAAATCATTCCCAGGACTATGACTTGTCCCTGTCCTTCCCAGGAACTTGAGCAGAAAGCAAAACACAGATGCACGACGTAAGCAACCGGGCCTTGTAACAGTAACAGAAACAGCAAATCCTATCTCCCAACCACGCCACACAAGAAGACGAAAACCAACACTTTTAATCTTTATAATAAAATGGAACCCTTAATTTAACAAGTACTATTAAGAAATATCTAATAACTTTTGTAAAATAAGAATATATTTTCAACTTCAAACTTAATTGGTTTTAGCTAAGGTGTAGCAGGAGAGTTTTGGTGGACAAAAAAAAAAGTGACATCACTCTAACCTTATTCTCTTTGCTTTTGTTACCGAGAAATTAACTCCCCCTCTCCCTCCAAAAGGAAAAGTTGTTTACTATGGGAAGATGAAAAGGAATTCTCAAAAGGGTAACGAAAGGATACGGCAAAAACCTTGAAAAGTTGTTTGCTCACCCAAACAACACTAAAATTAGCTATCTTGGCAACCGTAATGTAGACATTTTGACAAGATTAAGGAAACAGAAAGAGAAACAATATTAGCCAAGCTTGCACTTACTGGTCCAAGTTGATAACTTTTTCACGAGTAGAATTAACAGGAGACGAGGTTGAAGATATAGCCAAACATGATTCTGCATCTGCCATCAGTTTCTTCTTGAAGCGAAACCACTTGATGTCTTCTCCACTCTCATGATAAACAGCCCTAAGGATAAGACTTACATTCAGAGCCAGAGACAGCACCAGCAAGTGCCTCAAGGAAAACAGAGACGGAACTGGAACCATTTTAAAGCAAAAGACAAAGCACTAGAAATCTGAAATAGAAGCAGAAGAGCTTGTGAGATAACACCTTGGAGTGAACAGGGTCTGGACAACCTTTTATAGTGCTAAAAAAATCACTTGCCTCTATTAAAAATATGGTAGCAATAAAGACCACTTGCGACAAGTGTTTGGTGGAGAAGTTAAAAGTTAGCGGTTTGGGTGGGTGATATGAAATCCAGAAGCAAAACAGTTTATTATTCTGAGTAGTAATTCAAAAGTAGGAGGAGTGAAACCGGAAAGATTGAACTAAAAAGCCTGAAATCAGGATGAAGGGTGAAAGGTAGACTTAGAAATCGAATCCGATCCTCAAAATCTTCAGAAACTTTTTCCTGGATTTAATGGAGAAAGTAATAACGGACAAAGAAGTTAACATTATAGACAGCAAGGCTGAAGCAAAGTAAGGAATAAAGGACAGTTGAGAATAATAATACATTTCCTACAAATTAAATGAAGAGATTGAGGTGGTGGCTTGAGAAGAAATGGTATTGAAGTAAGAACCAATGGAAGAAGATAGTCTCTGAGGCCGTATATTATCACAGTAATCAAAAAATCCTGACTTGGCTTTACCAGAGAATTCACAGCTTTCCCATGCTGGATCTTGAAAACAGTAAAGCTATACTTGTCATGAATTGACTGTGTGGTACTATAGTGTAGCAGGGAAACAAATTATTTGACTGTAGTAGTGCCACAGGGTAGATATACATTCTTCATATTCATATACTTCAATTTTCAAATTCACATTTCTTTTCTACCAAAAATTTCACCTTTTTTAAATAAAATACATTTAAGTTTAATTAAATCTATTTAAACTCATTTAATTTAAATCAGATCTTTTATCTCTAAATACAAATATGTACAAAATTTACAATTTTAAGTAAAAACCTAATTTTATAGTTTTAAGCAATAATTACTTCAATTAATTTTTTGATTTTTAATATTTAAAGATCTATTTAATTTTTTTTATCATTTAAGATGACAATTTGACTTTTGATGTACTACTTTTGTTATTCAATGATCACGTGGAATGCACTAAAAATGGATTAAGATAACTGTTTTGATAAGTGAATCCACCTTGTAGAGAACGTCTGCAAATTTTTTAATAATATATATCACTATGACTTTAATAGCCACCTTTAGTGTAAATTACATTGTTGACCAATCAAAATTTTTTGTTATAATTTTTAAAGTAATTATTATAAAAATAGTGTACAAGATAGTTTATAATTGTATAATCATATTAAAAAAAGTAACATTATCATTTTGTACTATTTATTTCAAAAATATTAAAAAACAATACATGAAAAATATTAATTTAAAAAAAAATTGTGATTTACAGAAAATATTACCAATTAAAATATAGATAAAATTTGTTTTATAAAATATTTGTTTCCACTTAAAATTACTCTTTCAATCAACCTCTTTCTTATGTTTTTTTACTGTTCAACTGTTCATCAAAATTGTTAGAGGAGAGAATAATTCTAATTGTAGATAAATTTCCTTTTTACAAACTAGTATATTCTTAGTTAGCATCCAGTTGCGTTTATCTTATTCAGTTAATCCTTCTAAAATAAAATTTGTTACATTTACAATAGTATATAATCACATATATATTAAAAATTTAATAATGAAAAATCAAGAAGTGCATGATAAGTATCATACATTATATAAATTCGGGTCTTTTATTAAGGTCTGTGCATTTCTTTATGTGTTTCTTTCACTTTAATAAATTAAATTTAATATATATTTTAAAAATATAAATATTTATTCTTGAAATTATAGATTATTTAAAATTAATAAGATAGAATTCTAAAAATAAAAGAGAAAAAACTAAAGATGGGAAAAAATTATTTTTTATAATTTTTATTTGTTAATTTATATTAAACATCTGATTAAAAAATTAATTTTATATTAGACAGAAACAAAAGATAACGTTATTAAAAAGTAAAAGAAATATAAATATAAAATAAATAAAATATTTAATAATTAAAATATTATTATATTTTTTATATATTGTTATAAATTACATCTTCATAGACATATTAAGTTCCAGTAATTCTGTAGAAACTTATCTAATATTTAAAAAAAAATAGTATAATGATTTATCTAAGAAATATATATCTAACTTTTTTTTTTTAACAATAAAACTCTTCAAACTCTTGCCATAAACTGGAAAATCAGTCTGCACAACATCAAATACAATTTAATCTGAAAATAATATTCTATCATAATTCTCTTAAGATAAACTAGGATTTCATAGTATTAAAAAAAGATAAAAGAGATTTTTGTTACACGTAGTTGACGTAACTCTATATGATTCTAGCCATACATTTTTTATAATATTTTGATAAAATGACGGTCTTATCTCTTCTTTTTCACAAATCCTAAGAGTTTTCTTTTAATTTAAAAAATATATATATACTACAAATTATAATTTTAGAAAATATTTGCTCATTCATTAAAGTTATTAGAAAATAGCATAAACAACTACGAATATCTTTGTGTAGCTTATAGACTAATATACAATACACATTACATCATTTGACCAATAACTATTTAGCCATCAATATTAAATATCACAATTTTAAAAGTTATTTCAATAAATTTACAATTTTTTATTAATTTCAATATTATATAGTAAACATTTTTAATATGAAAAATTATATCATAAATTTATTAAAAAAATAAATCCACTACTTTAGTTTTCTCATATTACAAAAAATAAATATTTTTATATAATTAATATATTTTAAACATATACACTATATTAAAATTTATGAAAATTTGAGTGTATTAAATATACAAATTATATTTGGTGTCGAAAATTTAAAATAACGTTGAACTGAAAATATTATATATATATATATATAAATTTTAATTATTATCTTAATAAAAATAAATAATATATTATTAATAAATAATAAATAAATATAAAAAATAAAAGAATATGAAAAGATAAAAAATATATAAATAAATATATTTAGTAATTATTAAATTTAAGTGGTCAAAATTATAAATATTAATATAAGATAAAAAAATTATAATAATTATTAATTTTAAAAAAATTAAAATTATAAATATTAATATAAATTATAAAATTATGATATTCTATTTATTAAAAAAATTTAAACATTATATATATTATAAATTATTATAAATTAAAATAATATCAATCTTACATACAAATTTAATATTTTCTCATTTCAGTAGGAATGTAACAATGTCTACCATTTTTAAAAAATGTTTAATAATGTCTAATTTAGTTATACATAGTAGAAAAGTAAGAGTTTCAGTTTCTTTTAGATTATGCATCCTATAAGAGTATATAATTAAGAAAAAAAACTTTTCAAAAGGATAAGACTTTAGCTTGAAACAGACATGACAACCGGTCAGAAGTGGATTTTGTCTCTTTGATTTTTTTTCTAAAATTTTTAATTATTTTTATTTTTATTTTCAATTTTCCTTTTGTTAAAAATTAAGCTTAAATTTTGAAAGATATGGGTTTTTTCTTTTGTTTTATAAATTTAAAAGATAATTATATTTATAATAAATTAATTTAATATTTTTATAAAATAAAATATTTATAATTTATAATTATTAATTAAGTATATATTATTATCGTTATTATTATAATATTATATTTAAATATATAATTACATATATAAATTAATTATTTTTTAAAATATTTATAAATATAAAATATATAATTTATAAAAAATATTTAATAAATGAATTCTTATTTAATTAATTTAAAATAATGAAAATTTTAATTATTAATTTTTTAAAATATTTATTAAGATAAAATTTAATATATAATAAATAAAAACAATAAATCTAAAATATAATAAAACTTAATAAAAGTAAATAAAAAATAAAATAATATTATTTATTATTAAGATTGATATAAAATATTTTAAAATAATAATTTATTTTAATAAATTAGTTGAAAATTAATATATATATATATATATATATATATATATATACAATAAATTAAAAATAAATAAATAAAATATAAAAACATATCCATATATAATATAATGTAAGAAAAAAATATTATTTAAATTTAAATAATATGGGGTGGAAACATATCTATCGATCCCTACAAATAGTTTAATTGTGATTCGAATGGGAATGTCCGAGTGTATTTATTTAAAAAACCTCTCCCAGAAATATTTTTTTAGGAAAAAACAGATAAGACAGAAAACACTGCTGGATCTCTATAGCAGAGAATAGAAAATGAGCAAATAATAAAAGTAAAAAACAAATCAATAATTTGAATAAATTAAACTTAACATCACGCGTCGTCAAAATTTATTGGGATGCAGGTTAAGTTAAACAAAAGAAGATAAGAATTTAATATGGTGTGGAAGATGGTGAAGTGGTAGAGTGATTTTGATGTTATTCTAAATGACGTGGCTGTCGCCATTAATAATTTATAAATATATAAATAAATATATTTAAAAATTATTAAATTAAAAAAAAATCATACCTATTAATATAAATTACAAAAGTTAAAAAATAACAATGATAACTTAAAAAAATAAAAATAAAAAAATTGTTGACCCCTCGTCTACCCGACAACACCCACCACTGTCAGGCATGTTTCTATCTTCTTCCACACATTATTTCAGACTCATCTTCTGAGAATTATGGTGAAAGGGATACGACAACTGCATTCCTAGAGAACAGAGGGCCTTGATCTCTGCCAAATTTAGGGTCCACCAAATCAGCCCTCTGTGTGGAGGCTGGCTGCACCGGGACCAATTTCGATGTGGCCACCGATAACTACCACCACTTCACTCATCCTCACTATTTCATTTTGTTTCACCCTCATCTTTTCTGCATTCAAGACAGGTCACTATACCAATGGTCACCCTCATCTTTAAATATTGCTCTCTAACTCCTACCCATGATGAAATATTGGTCCTTTTCAACTTGCACATGCCTTCATTACCAGTATACGTTTCCCATTCATAATCACACGTTCAGACCCAACATGCCATAGTTAGTTAATCATAGTGGGTCTCAAACTTTAACTCTTGAGTATAGAGCAAACTTTATTAAATTGTGTAATTTGTTTATATGCAAAATTCGTGTTAAATTCTCATGTAAAGGTGTTCTACATATAAGGCAAATTAATGATGGCCAAGAAACACATAAAACTGGAAAGAATGTGGAGATGCAAAGAGAAAAAGAAGGAAGGAAGAAAGATGGAGGTGGACAGGGGAAATTAGTCACACTACGCAATCATGGCTCCCTTGAGTTGGGCATGTCCTCATTGTCCTTTCAACTCTATAGCTCCTGAGGGTGCTTTATTAATTAGTTTAATGACTTTAAATCTCACGTGCCATATTCACACATGGCATGAGCATATAACCATTCTCTTCAAACAGAAGCAATGAGAATGCATATAAAGCGAAGTTGAGTTCATTATCTCCAGTCATGACACTCGTTTAATGAATTTACTGAACTTGTGTTTTAAACTTAGAAATATCATTGGAATATTCCTTCTTCCACAACTACCTTCTCTTTTGAATATGATACACAGTTCTCTTTCTTTTTCAGTGGAAGGTGCATTAGTTAGACTTTGCATCATGAGATTCTGTAGCCACTATGGGGAAGACATTCAAAAGAGAATTCGAAATATCTAATGTTTCATTTACCACTATGTATGTTGATCATCAGTTTTCCATACCAACATACTACACAATCCACTTTCTTACCATTTAGAACATGACTTCCCAAGTCATTAGGGGAACAAGAATATTATTCATAATAGACGTACATAAGCATTAGCTAAGTGGAAATTCTTGTTAATCAGAAAATAAACAAGTATAAGCTATTTAATGGATGAATAATCAATATTCAAAGATAGTTAATAGTTGCACAATTACTTAAAAATATGTACTTTGAATATGCATTATTTGAATATGATTAATATTAATGGTTTATTTTGGTTGTATTAATTTCTTATTATAAAAAAATCCTGTTTATTACCATCTCTAGCTTTTTCTCTATATGAGAATACTTCTTATTTTAAAAATGCAAAAAACCTAATAAATTAATAATATATATATATATATATATATATATATATATATAGAGAGAGAGAGAGATATAGATATATCGGTATAGTTAAAATTTAAAGTTATAAGTTACCTAATTTCTTAAAAAAAGTCATGTTAGGACAAATGACCATTTAATTATAAAGTTTACATGTTTTGACATAATAAACAAAGAATATAAATTTAAAAGCTTTACGAAAATGCAAGTGCTTTAGTTAGAAAGACAAAAATAATCATCTTCCAAAGATTATAATATAAATGTAATTATTAATATTTGTAGTCTTATATATTTGTATAATCTTATAATTTTACAGGAACAAAATGTGCACACAATAAATAAATAATAATAATAATAAGTTAAGAAAAAATTATATAGAAAAATGTTTAAAAGTTTTAGTTAAACATTTTTGTAACTGGTATAACTTTTTATAAGCGGATATATACTTTACAAAATCCAGTTTTTCACTTGTATGAATAAGCGGGTGTATATTTTTATAATTATTTAATTCAATTACTTTTTATTTTTATAACTTAATGGTTAGTTTAATTTATATTTGAATGAATTAAATGATTAATAAGTAAATTTATTTAATTGTATTAGGTGACGAGATTTGTTAGTACACACAAGTCAAGATTTACAACAAGTCCATGGAGTACATCAAACCAGTGGCATACCAAGGACACCACATGGTCAAGTTATTCTCTTTGTCATCTTAGATACATTTCAAAGAAGTTTTTGAATATATAAACACTTGGAACTTAAAAGAAGAAGACATAAAAAAGAAGTTATCAGAAGTTATCAGAATCCAAGAAGGTACAGTCAAAAGTCACTCGGTGAAACCACCATGGTGACCCCACCAAGCTTACAGTTAAAACTCATTCACACGATTAAGGTTGCACCTCACATAAGAGTAGAATATGTCTCACATCTCGAAATACTTGAAGTGGGGAAACACTATAAATAAAACCCTTGTGTAGCCTCTTTGGCACATTTGAATGAAATCTAAACTTAGTGTGTGGAACTTGCAATTTGGTTTGTGCCCCATTTTGGCTTGATTTCAAGTGTTTTTTTGGAGATTTTATTCTTCTTGTCTCCTAAACAAGGAACCTTCCTTGGAGAAGCTAGTGTCAACTCTTCTTTTGAGACTTGAGGAACAATTTTCGGTCACTTGAGAGCTTAAAGTGCGGACTTGGGCATCTCTTTTGTGGAAGGAGGAGATTATTTCTATTAAGAAGTCTCACATCAGGAAAATTATATATTGGTACTTACTTTGCTTGTTATAAAAGGAGCACTATGTTTACTTTGTAAATCACCTCAAATCTCTTCTTTCTCCCTTCTACTAGTGCATTGCATATTATTGTTTTCTCCTTATATTTAAAAAAGGTATTATAATTTACTCTGTTAGTAAAAATTTATTATTGCCTATTATCGATTTTGTTTCTCTTTTCTCATCTTTTATTTTAGCTAGGAGTTTTTATGCAGTTACTCTAATTCCTAACAATAGGTATAAAGTGTAGTAGTGTGACACTGTATTTCTAGAAAAAATTTTGGCAAGAAAAGACTTAGTATTTAAGTGTGTCTATTAGTGACCCATCTCTCTTTCCTAGGAGTTTACCTGGTGTACTAGTTACGGTTTACGTTGTTATTCTAGTAGACAATACTATTCATAATAAAAGGTGCATAATTCAGTTAAAACTATGACAACAAAATATGATATAGAAAAGTTAAAGGAGAATAGTTTCTCATTTTAAACCTAAAGATGAAAATAATTTTTGTGGGCATCACAGATTAAAGGTAGGAAGAAATTAACAATAACGCTATAGCAAATTTGTGGAGAATGATATAACGAAGGAGATTTGTGAGTCTCTCGTCAAATTGTATCAGGAGAAAACACATATTGGCATTGGTTTATTATGATGTGTTGGAATCGCCGGTATTATCCCTATGAGGGGCCAAATATTTTGTGTCAGTGATGACAATGATTACTTAAGAGATCATGGGTGTACCTTATCAAATAGAAAATTTGTATTTTCAAAGTTTGAGAAAGGAAAATTCTTGGACTATGCCCACAATGAGAATGGGTATTTCTTGTGAATCCCACTATCCACAAGGTTATTGTTAGCGGTGATACAAATATTATTTTTCTTCAAGGTGAACTTAGAGAAATGATTGGTGTGCTCCAACTAGAAGACTTAAAAAAAAAGAAAACTTGGTTTGCAGGTTGACCAAATATTTGTACGGTTTGCAAGTGCGACTTCAAACCTTGCATCGTCAATATAAGTTGTTGTAGATGGAGATGCAAGAAACCATTCAAGAATAGTTTGCAAAATTGTTGTTTATCACAATCTTGATGAAATCTTGTGGTGAACGCTACGAACTATAATGAAGGTGTTGAGAACCCTCGATGCTAGGTTCGACATAATTTCTGTAGCTATCGAAGAGTCTACGGATCTTGATTTTTTGAAACTTGATGAACTACAGAGATTATTGGAGACTCACGAACAACGATTATGTGAGAGAGCAGAAGAAAGGAAGAGGTAGAAATAATGGCGTTGTTAACAAAACTAGAAAAATGAAGAAAATAGAGGAAAATCGAATAAGAGAGATCGAGGAAAGGAAAAAGGTAGAAATAATGATGGATAAGGCTCAAAAGGGGAACAGAAGAGCTCTTTACAATCGAGAAGTGGCAGAGGCAGAAACTCACAATAGAAAGTTGGCTAATCAGGCTCTGGTGCGAGTAAGAAGAATGTACAATGTTATAACTATTACAAGTATGATCATTATGCTACTGACTGTTGGAGCAAAATAGAATAAGCGAATGTTGCACAAAAATAAGACTCAGAGGATGAAATGCTATTAATGGTGACCATGACGAAAGCAGTGGAGACTTTTGGTGAATATTGATATTTGGATACTGGTTGTTCAAATTACGTGTCATTTCAGAAGATTTGATTTGTCGATCTCAATGAGAGTATTAGATCGAAGGTAAAATCTGCAAATAATTCGATAGTGAGCTGTGAAAGGAAAGGAAGAGTAATGATCAAAAAAAGGGATGACAAATTTGCAATAATTTTGAATGTGCTTTATATTCCAACTATAAAGCACAATTTGTTCAATATCGGTCAACTACTTTAGAAAGAACATTTGATCGATTGAAGATCGAGAGAAAAAATGTTGAGAATCCTCGATAAGAATGAGACACCAATTTTAAAGGAACCTCTGAGTCAGAAGAGAGTTTTTTGAGTCAATATTCCAATATCGAATAACTTGTATTTTGCAACAGTAGTCTCTGATGTCAATTGGTTGTGGCATTTAAGGTACAATCATTTTGATTTTCATAGTTTGAGCCAACTTACAAAAAAAGAGATGGTGATTAGATTGTCTTGAGTTAAAAAATGTAAAGACATATATGAAGGTTGCATGATGGGAAAACAAGCCAGAAATTCCTTTAAGGTGCGCATCAAGATCAGAAGTAATAATGTGTTAGAATTTATCTACACTGATGTGTGTGGACCCTTCGATGTCCCTTCACTAG